CCAAGACTGTGCCACTACACTGCAGCCTGGGCAACAGAGTGAGACTCCCATCTCAAAAAAAAAAAAGGCCGGGTGCAATGGCTCACGCCTGTAATCCCAGCAGTTTGGGAGGCCGAGGTGGGCAGATGACCTGAGGTCGGGAGTTTGAGACCAGCCTGGCCAACATGGAGAAACCCTGTCTCTACTAAAAAATACAAAATTAGCCAGGCATGGTGACACATGCCAGTAATCCCAGCTATTCAAGAGGCTGAGGCAGGAGAGTGGCTTGAACCCAGGAGGCGGAGGTTGCGGTGAGCCAAGATCATGCCATTGCACTCCAGCCTGGGCAAAAAGAGCAAAACTCCGTCTCAAAAAAAAAAAAAAAAAAGGCCGGGCGCGGTGGCTTAAGCCTGTAATCCCAGCACTTTGGGAGGCCGAGATGGGCGGATCACGAGGTCAGGAGATCGAGACCATCCTGGCTAACACGGTGAAACCCCGTCTCTACTAAAAAATACAAAAAACTAGCCGGGCGAGGTGGTGGGCGCCTGTAGTCCCAGCTACTCGGGAGGCTGAGGCAGGAGAATGGCGTAAACCCAGGAAGCAGAGCTTGCAGTGAGCTGAGATCCGGCCACTGTACTCCAGCCCGGGCGACAGAGCGAGACTCCGTCTCAAAAAAAAAAAAATTGAAAATAATCAAATATGGGACTTTAACTTATAAGAAGAAGGAAATTGCATTTTGTTTTTACTGATTTATCTGCAAGAATGCATGATTGTGTGGGTCATAAGATCTGGAGTCACACTGGAAGTAAGATGCCCAATTGTAACCTCAGACCTAAGGTAAGCTACAATTCAGGAGTACTAGAGTCTTGTGCATATTAACAGAACTGTATGTCAGTTCCCATTTGACCATTTAAAAAATATGTATTCTTCATTAATCAGAACTGGAGTGAAAGTGAGGAAAGGAGCATCCAAAGTCTCCAACAACATTATTCACGAAGGTGTACATCGGTATGACTTTTTTTTTTTTTTTGGCAGGGAAATTTTGTGATATTCATCAAATCTTTAAATGTACATACTCTCTCAGTAATTTCTTTCTTTCTTTCTTTTTTGAGACAGAGTCTTGTTCTGTCACCCAGGCTTGAGTGCAGTGGCGCAATCTCTGCTCACTGCAACCTCCGCCTCCTGGGTTCAAGTGATTCTCCTCCTCAGCCTCCCGAGTAGCTGCAACTACAGGTGTGCACCACCATGCTCGGCTAATTTTTGTATTTTTAGTAGAGACAGGGTTTCACCATGTTGGCCAGGATGGTCTCGATCTCTTGACCTCGTGATCCGCCCACCTTGGTCTCCCAAAGTGCTGGGATTACAGGCGTGAGCCACCGCGCCTAGTCTGATTTTTATATTTTTAATAGAGATGGGGTTTCACCATGCTGGGCAGGCTGGTCTCGAACTCCTGACCTCAGGTGATCCACCCGCCTTGGCCTCCCAAAGTGCTGGGATTACAGGCATGAGCCACTGCGCTGGGCCGTCCGAACACATGTTCGTCTTAGGCCATAGGGTCATTCTCAGGGTATGCTTAAATTATTGCTGTTAGGCACATCTGCCGTACAGCAGCCTCCAAGATGGCCTCCAGTGATCCCTGCCTCCTGGTGTTTACCCTTTTGTAGTCCCCTCTCATATTGTACCAGATTTGCTCTGTGTGACTACCAGAAAATTGCAACAGTAATGGTATGTCCCTTCAAAGGCAAGTGTATAGAAAGACCTTGTGGCTTTTGCCTTGCTGTCTCTTGGATCAGTCACTAGCTGCTATGGTGTGAAGCAGCCCTATGGAGAGGTACTTGTAGTGAGGAACTGAGGCCCTCAGCCAAGAGCCAACAAGAAACTGAGGCCTCCTGCTAACAGTCATGTGAGTGAGCCATCCTGAAGGTGGATTCTCTAGCCCCAGTCAAGTCTTAAGAGATTGTAGTGAGCCTAGATCTCACCACTGCACTCCAGCCTCCGTCTCAAAAAAAAGAAGAATGTGTGTTCGGAACTCTGAGCTAAAGAATCTCAATTGCTCAATTAAAGTTCAATTGCTGATCGGTTCACTCCTGGAACCTTCACTAACCAGATCCAGGCAGCCTTCTGGGAGCCACAGTTTCTGGTGGTTATTGATTCCAACGATGACCACCAGCCTGTCACAGAGGCAACTTACGTTAATCTATCTACCATCGCTCTGTGCAACACAGATTCTCCTCTGTGCTATGGGGACATTGCCATCCCATGCAACAACAAAGGATTTAACTTATGGGTTTGATATGATGGATGCTGGTTTGGGAACTTCTGTGCATGCATGGCACCATCTCCTGTGAACACTCATGGGAGCTCAGGCCTGATCTCTGCTTCTACAGAGATCCTAAAGAGGTTGAAAAGGAAGGCCAGGTGCAGTGATTCATGCCTGTAATCCCAGCACTTTGGGAGGCCAAGGTGGGTGAATCACCTGAGGTCAGGAGTTCAAAACCAGCCTGGCCAACATGGTGAAACCCAGTCTCCACTAAAAATACAAAAATTAGCTGGGCGTGGTGGCACGTGCCTGCAGTCCCAGCTACTTGGGAGGCTGAGGCAGGAGAATCGCTTGAACCCAGAAGGCGGAGGCTGCAGTGAGCTGAGACAGCACCATTGCACTGTAGCTTGGGCAACAGAGTGAGACTCTGTCTCAAAAAAAAAAAAAAAAAGATGAAAAGGAAGAGCAGGCTGTTGCTGAAAAAAATCTGTGACCAAGGAGGAATTTCAGGGTAAGTGGATGGCTCTGGCTCCTGAGTTCACTGCTCCTCCGCCTGAGGGTGCAGACTGATCTGAAGGTGGCAGGTGCCCTCTGTGCCTATTCAGCAATTCCTTACTGAAGACTGGAGAGCTCAGCCTGCCACAGAAGCCTGGTCTGCAGCTCCCACTGCTCAGGCCACTTGAATGGGTAGGAACAACCACCAAGTTGTCTTACAGGCTCATAAGCCACATGGAAATAAGTTTGACAGAAAATAAACATGTTTCTTAAAACAAAAACAAACAAACAAAAGGAACCTGGGAGTTGCCAATCAGGAGATTCATTCCTTACCTATGAGGAACATAGGAATCCCCATCTCATCCCATGGAATGCGGGCCATACAGGGGATCGAGGCCCTTTGTTTTGGGTTAAATCAAGGTTGCCAGGTGGAGGTTGCTAGGGTGAGAATGCTAAGTGAAAATGCTATATAACCAGTATGCTTTTTTTTTTTTTTTTAGATGGAGTCTTGCTCTTGCCCAGGCTGGAGTGCGGTGGCACGATCTCAGCTCACTGAAACCTCCACCTCCCAGGTTCAAGCAATTCTCCTGCCTCAGCCTCCCAAGTAGCTGGGATTACAGGCACGCACCACCATGCCCAGCTAATTTTTGAATTTTTAATAGAGACGGGGTTTCACCATGATGGCCAAGCTGGTTTCCAACTCCTGACCTCAAGTGATCCACTTGCCTTGGCCTCCCAAAGTGCTAGGAGTACAGGTGTGAGCCACTGCACCCAGCCAGTATGATTTTTATAAGCAAATGCAGTTCTCCTGTCCAGCCTGCCACCACAGGATTGCCCTGTATGTAAGTCTCCTCAATAAACCCTATGTCTCAGCCTGGGAAACATAGTGAGGCCTCATCTCTATAATTTTTTTTTTTTTAATTAGCCAGAACTAATGCCTGTAGTCCCAGCTTCTTAGGAGTCTGAGGCAGGAGGCTTGCTTGTGTCCAGGTGGCTGAGACTGCAGTGAGCCATGAATATACTACTGTATTCCAGCCTGGGTGACAGAGTGAGACCCCGTCTCAAAAAGTAAATAAATTAATTAAATAAACCGTATGTCTCATTCACTGGCTCTGCATCTCGTCTTCAGCCTCTCAAACATGGTGCCATTCCTGTTGAAGTCAATAGGGGTCCAGCATGACAGCTACCTACCAACATAACATTTTGGTTGCCTCTAGGGAGGGGAGATAGATGGTTTGTGCCTGGCAGGAAAGGAATGTTTTCACTGTGTATGTTTTTGTACTTTTTGAATTTTGAACCCTGTTAAATGTATTAGTTAGCAAAGAAAAACCAGTTCCCCATAATTTAGGCTGCCGATTGTGAAATTTAACATGTCATCAGAATCACCTGAAAGGCTTGTTAAACCACAGGTTGCTAAGCCCAGCTATCTGAGTTTCTGATTCAGTAAGTAGGTCTGGGGTGGAACCTGAGAATTTGTATTTCTAACAAGTTTTAGGGTGATGCTGATCCTGCTGCTCCAGGGACCACATTTTGGGAACCACTGACTTAGACCTGCTTGTCCAATATGGTAGCCACATGTGGCTATTAAGAACTTCAAATGTGTCTAGTTCAAATTAAGATGTGCTGTAAGTATAAAACATACACCGGATTTTAAAGACTTAGTACAAAAAAAATGCAAAATATCTCTTTAATAAATTTTATATTGATTTATGTTTAAAAATGTTTTAGGGCTGGGCGCGGTGGCTCAAGCCTGTAATCCCAGCACTTTGGGAGGCCGAGACGGGCGGATCACGAGGTCAGGAGATCGAGACCATCCTGGCTAGCACGGGGGAACCCCGTCTCTACTAAAAAATACAAAAAAAAAAAAATGTTTTAGATATATTGGGTTAACAAAAAATATGTTATTAAAAAAATTTCACCTTGGAAGAGGAGGAAGTAAAAAAAAGAAAAAAATTCACCTGTTTCTTTTTACTTGCTAATTACTAGAAAATTTCAACTGATATGGCTCGTATTATATTTCTGTTAGACAGTGCAGACTTAGACAATTGTTTCTTCTCTCCTGTTTCTGTGCTGTTTAACAACAGTATTTTGCTACAAGACTAGTTGATAAATCTGATAAGCTGATAGTCTAAATTATTAATAGGTGATGATAACTTAATAGGTTTAAACTGTTTTCATTTTAACAACAATTGCTAATGTCCACGTATAAAAGAGTATCTACCAGGGAGAATTTTCTGACATCTTGGAAGTCAGGTGGAAACAATACCTTTAGTTAGGCAGTTCTTTTCCCTGCTTCTCAGTCCCTACTAAACTCCAAACACGTATGCTGCTGCCTCTTCAGCTCATGGTAGGACAGGGCCTGAAAGCAAAAGAACAACTCATTTCTCACGCTTTTTTCTCATAAAGTAGACATGTTGAGAGAGAAAAGCTAAATTAATTTGGAGCTACAGAACAGCTGTTTTAAAGTTATTAAGTTACTATTTCATGAATGTCACATGTTCTGTTTAAGTGGGTCAAAGGAATTCAGTGAATCCACATACCAGGAAACACTTTCACAACATTTAATCATTTGCTAGTTACTTTATCAAAAAGAAAAATTCACTTTTAATATCCATTTAAGGGCAATAATTAACCAGCTTAGTCACTATGAGTTATTTAATTTTTTTATCTAATACCCTAAATAGAATGATATAAAATATTTTGTAATTAGTTTTTTCAGGTTATACAATCATATAATCTAGAGTCAAATAGTTTCATAAGTTGAATAATGTAAAATGCTATTTTTTATTTATAAAATATTTTAATTTGTGCACATTAAAATTCATTGCCATTATATTTATGATAAAATGAATGTTAACGACTTGCTTCCAACAGGGATGAAAATAGAGCTATGAGAAAAGTGTTATAAAGGTGTTTGCATTTTCTCGTGTGTTTAGTGTACATATCACTTTGCATTTCAGAGGTCTTGAAACTGAACAGAACATCAATATTTCATAGCCCTTTTGGATTTCTTGATCTCTACACAATCCTGCTGGATGAATGTCAAGAGCGGCTTTTCGTGGGAGGCAGTGACCTTGTGTATTCCCTCAGCTTGGAGAGAATCAGTGACAGCAGTTTTCAACAGTTCACATTGTTTTGGTTTTCTAATTGAAGGTATACTCCATGCTCCACTTGTCCTGCTGGAGCTTAGCTTCACCATCACCTGGAGCATCCTCTCAGCCCCTGATGTGTATAGAAATTCAGTTTCTCAGGTCCCCCATTGATTATCTGCCATGTTGTGCAGGCATATCCTCTCCTAGCTTAATCACGGTGGAAGGAAAAGGGGAAGCAAAGCACCTTCTTCACAAAGTGGCAGGAAGGAGAAGTAAAAAATGCTATATATATATTTTTTTTAGATGGAATTTCGCTCTTGGCACCCAGGTTGGAGTGCAATGGCACAATCTTGGCTCACTGCCACCTCCACCTCCAGGGTTCAAGCGATTCTCCTGCCTCAGCCTCCTGAGTAGTGGGGATTACAGGTGCCCGCCACCACAGCTAATTTGTGTATTTTTTTTACTAGAGATGGGGTTTCACCATGTTGGCCAGGCTAGTCTCGAACTCCTGACCTTAGGTGATCCACTGACGTCGGCCTCCTAAAGTGTTGGGATTACAGGTGTGAGCCACAACACCCAGCTGAAAAACGCTATTTTTATCCATGCTAATATTATAGTATGATTACTTTCCCTTTTATATTTTTGTTTTTCCGGGGGTTGTTTGTTCATTTATTTGTCTTTTTAATTATTTATTATTAATTTAACCCCAAACTTCCTCCAGTTATATAAATCTGCTCTTGATACATTAAAAACAGTGGTGTAAGGTATATGGATGTGCTGTGGTTGATAGGCCCAGGTGGATATTCAGGCCTGCATAACAGTGAGTTTGGCCCACAGGCACACACCTCCACTTGTTATATAACCTTTTTGTGTAAGTTCATACTTGGCTCTGAGCCACTATTGTCTGTAAAAGGTATAATTGCCCTGCTAACGCTATACAGGGGCTCTGGGCTCGGCTCAACATGGTTTGACATAGAGAGTGTGCTGGCGCCCAGAGAAAAAGACAGAGCCAAAGCTGTCTGTCTTGCAGACGGACAGGAGGGAGCCATGACACAGCTCAGCTTGCTCCTGCCCAGGGAGAAAAAGAGTTAAGCTGCTGACCCTAAAGGCAAGGCAGAGCTGGCCACACAGGTGTGTGTGGGAGTCGCCGGACTAAGCAGCCAAGACAGGGTGGACAGTTTAAAAGAGCTAATTTGAGTAAGCTGTGTAAGACAGCTGCTGCTAAACAGAACCAAATTCACCTGCCTATGGCTGGCCACCCAAGTGTTCTTTCTGCTCATCCATCCACTGCCCTTAGACTTCAGCATGGGCTGGACCCAGACCCCAGGATATAACAATTGGTGACGAGGACGCAATGAGGTGAGTGGGTCTTCAGCCCCTGAGGGCTCCCAGGTGGGCTATGTAGCCACAGCATGAGCTGTGGTACCTGGTCCTAGTGGTGCTGCTTGGATAAGCCCCAATGGAAACATGGGAGGCAGTGGCCAGATCCCCCATGAGTGTGGAGAAGGCACTGAAGCACCTGCAAATGCACAGCATTGAAAGGAACATACCTTTGCCAGCAGAGTCAGATGGACATTTGTGACTGTGCTGAGGGAAATGAATGCCCAATCCCAGCAGGATGCAGCGCAGGGAGGAGAAACCTCCGTTGCAGGCCCGCCTGGTAGTCCGTCAGAAAATAGAGCATGAACAGCTGTTGGGTCCCAAGAGGAGGCCCAGAGACTCCCCCATTGTGGTGGAACACATTTCCTATGATGCCTGTGTCCCCGCTGAGTTGCGAGAGTTAAGCAACTAATGTCTGCAGTTGTGTACAGACTTAGCGCAAGTCATTTGGGAGAAGGATCATTGCTGCGCAACCCAGTGCTGCCCGAGCATTCCAGTTCAAAGAGTACCTGCTGCAGTTGGCGGAAGGGTAAAGCCTTTTCTGCTTGATAAGAGAACTGGCCAAGGTGCCTGGCTTGCGGGGCACTGGACAACCAGAGCCACATGTGGATTTGGCAATCCACTGGTCTCTGAATCCGGGTAAGTTTCCGGGCAGAGCTGCATAAACAGCTATGAAAGTTGGTCAGTGAAAGCAAAATCTGGATCTTTGCATCTTGGCATCGGCTGCTTGGCTCTCCACTTATGCACTGTGTATGTGTCTCCCATACCTGAAGACATTCTGAGGGTGGATGTTTTGTAGGGCTTGGCAGCTGTACCATCTGTCACGGACTTGCTGGACCACTTGACAACGGAACTGGGACTTCTTGTCCAGGGAGCCAGGAACAGTTTGCCTTCATGGGAGGGCAACAGTGGACTTTCTTTTTCTTTTCTTTTTCTTTTTCTTTTTTTTTTTTTTTGAGGTGGAGTCTTGCTCTGTCGCCCAGGCTGGAGTGCAGTGGCACGATCTCAGCTTCTGCAACCTCTGCCACCTGGGTTCAAGCAATTCTCCTGTCTCAGCCTCCTGAGTAGCTAAGACTATAGGCACCCGCCACCACGCCCAGCTAATTATTATTATTATTATTATTTTGAGACAGTCTCACCCTGTCACCAGGCTGGAGTGCAGTGGCGCGATCTCGGCTCACTGCAACCTCCGCCTCCTGGGTTCAAGCGATTCTCCTGCCCCAGCCTCCCAAGTAGCTGGGACTACAGGCACGTGCCACCACACCCGGTTAATTTTTGTATTTTTAGTAGAGACAGGGTTTCACCATTTGGCCAGGATGGTCTCAATCTCCTGACCTCGTGATCCGCCCACCTTGGCCTCCCAAAGTGCTGGGATTACAGGTGTGAGCCACCATGCTCAGCCAATTTTTGTATTTTTAGTAGAGATGGGGTTTCACCATATTGGCCAGGCTGGTCTCGAACTCCTGACCTTGTGATCTGCCCGCCTCGGTCTCCCAAAGTGCTGAGATTACAGGCATGAGCCACCGCGCTAGGCCCGACAATGGACTTTCATAGTGTTGCTGATGGGCTATTGTGTAGCCCCGCCATATGCTGTGGTTTTGTTAATAATGTTCTGTTAACCTCTGATTCTCTTGCAGGTTTAAAAGTGGCAGCACTCCTCTTGCCTGGGACTGGGATGATGAGGCTGAGACAGTCTTTCTGGGTAGTAAACCGAGGGTGCCCATTTACACTAGATGTACATGTAACCACAGATAGTTTTGGCTAGGGTCTATATCAGTGCATGAGCGCTTGGAAGCAGCTGTGGAAGAGAGCTGACCTCCAGTGTTCATTAACAGAGAAGCAGTTAGTAATAGTTAGTAATAGTAAAAGCATCCCACAGTTAGTAATAGTGGGATGGGTGTGTTCATGCGTAACCACCACCCCAGACTGGGAAAGCAGTTAGTAACTGCATATTCTGCCCTTCAGGCTCATAAGAGCATGGCAGTACGGGCTACAGTCGTTGTGCTGACAACTAACCCAATAGCGGGATGGGTGTGTTCATGGATAACGATCCCTGGACAGGGACAGTGAAGACATCCACTTTGGCGAAGTGTAGTGCCTACTTACTTAGAGCAGCAGAGTATGCTGAATGCAAGTTCCTTAACAGCAGAGTTACAAGAGGTTTTGGGACCTGAAGTCCTAATGCAAGATGAGGCCATGGGGCCCGAGGCACCTCTAGACACTAAGCCTTCACCATTAGGAAGGGCCTCCCCCATTCCTAATAGGGTATCATGTACAAGTGGGTCCAGCTGGGGTGCTACTGCTGGTGCAGTCCAAGCTAGTACTGACACCATATGGTTTGAAAGCAGGTATGGGCAAAGTAGTTAATAAGTTAAAGTTAAGGCAATGTGAATGGTAATCACCAAGGAGGTGACACCTAAGGTAATCTGCACCAATAGCTGGGCAGTTTATCATAGCTTATGTATGCAAGGGGCCTGCATGCCCAGAAGCTTATGTATGTATTGGGCTTGTGTGCCCAAGGCTTGTGTGTCAGGCTTATGTGTCAAGCCTGTATATGTATCAGACCTGCATGCCCAAAGTTTATATGTCAGGCCTGTGTGCCAAACCTGTGTATCAAACCTGTGTGTCCAAGGCCTATGTCTCCCTCAGCCTAGGGGGTGGAGTGTAAGGTACATATGGATGTGCTTTGGCCAAGGAATAGGCCGAGGTGGATATCCAAGGCCTGTGTAACTCAGTGAGTTTGGTGCATAGGCGCACACGTCCACTTGTTATATAACCTATTTGTGTAAGTTCATACTTGGCTCTGAGCCACTATTGTCTGCCCTGCTAATGCTGTACAGGGGATCTGGGGGCTTGGCTCAGCTCAACATGGCTTGACATGGAGGACACACTGGTACCCAGAGAAAGAGAGAGAGCCAAAGCTGTCTATTTTACAGATGGACAGGAGGGAGCCAGGACACAGCTTGGCTTGCTTAAGCCCAGAGAGAAAAAGAGTTAAGCTGCTGACCCTGAAGACAAGGGAGAGCTGGCTGCACAGGTATGGGAGCCACCAGACTAAGCAGCCGAGACAGGGTGGACAATGTAGAAGAGCTAGTTTGAGTAAACCATGTAAGACAGCTGCTGCTAAATAAAACCATATTCACCTGCCTACAGCCCATCAAGTGTTCTTTCTGCTCACCTACCCACTCCCCTCGGACTTCAGCATGGCTGGACCCAGACACCGGGATCTAACAAGTGTTTTTCTAGCAATTGTAATCTATTAATTGAATCTTTCTTTGGAAATCTATTCCAGGCCCTTCTGGCCTGCTCCAATCTGTATTCGTTCCTCTCTAAGCCTATACCACTGTCTCATTGGTATCTCCCTTTACCACCATCCTAGTGGTTTACTTTATACCTCTCTTTTGGTTGTACCCTTCATTTTGTGTCATATTTTTCCTCCTTCTTGGTTTGCTTCTTATTTTGGAGGATTCCATCCCTAGTAGCTTCCTAAATTTTAAAAATATTTTAATTTTTTTTTTTTTTTTTTAGCGACAGGATTCTGCTATGTTCCCTGGGCTGGCCTCAAACTCCTGGGCTCAAGGGATCCTCCTGTGTAAGGAACATGGCTGCAATGCAGCAAGGGAGGCATGGGCCAAGGTAAACATCCTGCATGACTCAGCAAGTTTGGAGTGCAGGTGCATAACTTTACTTGTTATATAATCACAGCTACATAGCCATAACATGGGAAGGCTCATCACTTGGCTTGGAGCCACTATTGTCTGTAAAAGGTATAACTGCCCTGCTGATGCTGTACAGGCATGCTTGTGCCCAGAGAAAGTGTTAAGCTGCTGACCTGTAGGGAAAGCTGGCTGTGCAGCTGTGTGTGGGAGTGGCAGGAGTCACAGAGCCAGAAGAGGTAGCCGAGACAGAGACACACAGTGTAAGAGAGCTGCTGAATGAAACCATCTTTCACGTGCCTATGGTCCATTAAGTGTTCTTTCAGCTATATAAGATGAGGGTATCACCATGTTGCCCAGGCTGGTCTCAAACTCCTGGGCTCAGGCGATCCTCCCACCTTGGCATCCCAAAGTGTTGGCATTACAGGCATGAGCCACCATGCCTGATCTCCATATTGAAGGTAGAACTAACAAGATTTACTGATAGGTAGAAGGTGGTGGGGTGTGAGAAAGAGAGGAATGAAGAGAATTCCAAGTGAGTCTGGTGACTTTTCCGTATTCCAAAGATAAAAAGAAACTCATAACTTTTCATGTTTTCTCATATGCAGCAGTAGATACAAAATGACAGTGGAGCAGAGTTTACTGTTTTAGGGAAAAAGGATAATTTTACACTGGTATGCTTGACTCTCTTTGAAATTGCAATTTACCTAGGCAGCCAGAGAGATTGGCTAGCTGAGATCCAACTAATTTTAGGCAACTACAACAAACAAGAAGAGAGAGAACTGGGGACAAAAAGAGAAAGACTCAGCACAACAGTCAAATCACATCAGCAAAGTCCCTTAAGCCTCCACTACTTCCCTTGCTTTCTTGTTCCAGCAGGGTCTTAGCTTGTCAGCCAGTTCCATGGCCACTCATCATACTCAGGGTGAAGCCGGCCAGCAGAATGCTGCAGCCTTGGGGTGGGAGGCCTAGTTCAGAAGAAACTGAATAGCCCAGTAACTGACACAAGTTTTGAGGGAGTGCAAACCATCTATCAACAGAGATTTTTTTTTTCCCCTTAAGGAAGCACTGTAGCAAAATGACAGATGAATTACAATAAAAAGCTCAAAAAAGGGCAGGGGTGATAGATAAGAAACAGTGATGAGTAGGCTGGGTGCAGTGGCTCACGCCTGTAATCCCAGCACTTTGGGAGGCAGAGGCGGGCAGATCATGAGGTCAGGAGATAGGGACCATCCTGGCCAACATGGTGAAACCCTGTCTCTACTAAAAATACAAAAATTAGCTGGATGTGGTGGCACGTGCCTGTAATTCCAGCTACTCGGGAGGCTGAGGCAGAAGAATCGCTTGAACCAGGGAGTCGGAGGTTGCAGTGAGCCAACATCATGCCACTGTAATCCAGCCTGGTGACACAGCAAGACTGTCTCAAACAAACAAACAAATACCAGGCACGGTGGCTCATGCCTACAATTCTAGCACTTTGGGAGGCCGAGGCAGGCAGATCATGAGGTCAGGAGTCTGAGACCAGCCTGGCCAACATGGCGAAACACCATCTCCACTAAAAATACAAAAATCAGCCGGGTGTGGTGGCAAGCGCCTGTAATTCCAGCTACTCGGGAGGCTGAGGCAGGAGAATTGCTTGAAGCCAGGAGGCGGAGGTTGCAGTGAGCCAAGACTGTGCCATTGCATTCCAGCCTAGGTGACAAGAGCAAGACTCTGTCTCAAAAAAAAAAAAAAAGAAAAAGAAACTGACAACGTTTACAGCTGTATAGGT